GAGACCCCCGTTGCATCCGCGGCCGCAGCTTTTGTCAGACCATTGCCAAGCTCGACGCACGAGCGCGAGCGGTCGGACTCCACGAACAGGCTGACTGCCGCCTCCCGGCGTTTGTCGCCTTCGACATCAAAGCAGCATTCCCAAACATGGATCGCACGTGGCTGTTTGCGGTCCTCGAGCGCATGGAGCTACCACGAGGGTGCCTCGCTGCGATGCGTGGCCTCTGTTCGCTGGCACTGGCCTCGGCACGGGTTCGCGACGAGGTGGCCCCTCTACCGATGATCAACTCAGGGGTCATGCAAGGGTGCTCGCTCAGCGGCTCCCTTTGGGCCTTTCGCATGGACCCCATCATTCGTGCGCTGGAGCTGGCGCTCCCACCTGACCCCCGCGAGGCCTCGATCGGTGGCTGTGCGGATCACCTCGGCGCTGTCCTGGCTAAGTTCACGTATCTCACCTCGCCCTACCCCTCCTTCGCCTCTGCCTCAAACCTCGCCTCGCTCCACCTCCACCCCCTCAAATGCGCGATAGTCCCCTTGCGAGCTCAGTGCGCAGATGGCATAGCGCAGGAATTGCGCGCCACGCTGCGCCAGCTGATCCCAGAATGGCAATCCTTTTTCATCGCAGGTGCCGCCAATTATCTAGGCGTGTTGCTGGGACACGACGCCGCCAATGCTCAGCGATGGGCGGCGTGCGCGCAGAAGTGGTGAGAGGGGATCCTGAAGACCTCGGCCTCTGACTCGCTTCCTGGCTCCTCGCTCCGCTTCTACCAAGTCGCGAGTATCCCCGCCCTTGGCTGCGCGGCGCAATCTTTTCTTCCGCCAAAAGCGTTGCTCGCCAAAGAGCCTTGCTGCATCCAGGAGTTCCTGGAGCTGCCGCCGAGCTCGATGACGGACCATGGCCTTTGGTCGCTACGCGCATGGGCGCCCGGTCCGACCCCGACATCCATTGCCGAATATTCCGCGGCGACTAGCTGGCGCGCGGCGCGCGCCACGATTTCCAACTTCGCTGTCTGGCACGACGAGCTGGAAGAAGCCTCGTGGTCGGGCAACGCCCTCGTCCGCCACATTCAGCAGCTTTGGTCCCCGCCCTTCTGGCGCGACCAGAGCATTGCGTGCACGCCTCGGGTCGAGCGCGCCCCCGAAGGTCCCCTCTGGCCCCCAGTGCCCCGCGGCTGCCGAGGCCAACCAGGCAGCCGCCCTCGCCGAGAGGCTCCAGAAACGCCCGAAGTGGCAAACTACATGCACCCGTGCCTTCTCCAGAGAGCTATACCCAGACCGCTTTCACCTGACGGTGCAGAAGCGCGTGTAAGTTTGGTTCCCAATGATGCAGGCCCCACCCCTCGCCCCTCGCTGGTCCGAGCTGCGCGAGGTCCTGGCCAAAACCCGCCCGACCGTCTTTTTGGTCTGCCTTCAAAACACGTTCGGGCGGGTGGATCACCACCTGCAGAATGCACATCCTGGGCCAGCGGGGGTGCGTTTTTGGGTGCGAAGGGGGACCTGATTAGATTTCTCACTGCTTCTCCTGCCCTCGCCTACTTCACCTCGTCGCCCTTCCCCGTTCCTTCCTCCCCAACTCTGTAATCACACGTCTGGGGCTCGGAGAGGAGCACGAGTATTCGGGGGAGGCCTCGCGGGAGCGCGCAGTTTTCCTCTTTGCCGCGGCGTTCGAACTGCACCGCAAAGTTAGGGTGCGGTCACTTGGATCGCCCTCACATGCGCTTTTCACGGAGCACCTCGAGGTGCTGGCTGCGGCGAGTCGCTCGCGAATGGCCTGAGACAAAGACCACGTTGCTCGAAGCTACGTGCGATCATCATCATCATCATCATCATCATCATCATCATCATCATCATCATCATCATCATCATCATCATCATCATCATCATCATCATCATCGTCATCATCATCAGGAATATCATCCTCATCGTCTTCGTCATCATCATCATCAGCATCATCATCGTATCATCATCGTCGTCGTTTTTCCCATCCCACTCCTCTCCTCCCTCTCCTCCCTCCCCCCCCCCTCCGAGCAGTGCCGATACCGCTACTCCCCAGATTTCTCCCGAGGTGCGTCCTGACCAGGGCGACCCAGGAGGCCCAGGCAGGGCAAATCGAGGCCAGGGCACCCCTTACCGGTGCTCCTCCCTCCTCCCAGCAGTCGGCCCCCTGGTGCCCCCTGGCTGCCTTCGACCGCGGCGTGGGCCCTCGCCGCTGCAGCCCGCGAGCTGCGCTCGACGCGCGGCCTCAGGGGCGCCACCGGCGCGCCCCGGAACCGCGGCCACCGGGGATGCCGCCCTGGGGGCGGGTCGCGGGCACCGCGGGCGGGCGGCGGTGGGCAGGGAGGCGGCGGCGGCGGTGGGCAAGGAGGCGGGCCAGGAAGACGAGGAGGAGGGCAGGGAGGGGGACAGGGAGGAGGAGGGCGAGGAGGAGGGCAGGGAGGAGGACAGGGAGGATGGGGCAGGGAGGGCGAGGACGGGGAGGAGGCGGAAGGGGACGAGGACGGGGAGAGGGAGAAGGTGGCGGGGGAGGAGGAAGGTGGGGGAGAAGGAGGATGGGGAGGAACAGGAGGAGGAGGAGGAGGAGGAGGAGGAGGAGGAGGAGGAGGAGGAGGAAGCGGAGAGGAAGTGCGTGGGAAAACGACGCGCAACCCCCGAACCTTTCGCGTTGTGTGCTACATTTGTTTGCATTCATGTTTGCTGCCTCGCTTCTGCCACGCCTTTCTCTGCTTCACGGCGTTGCTGCCTCTTCGCTGGCGGCACCGCAGTCAGTCAGTCAGTTAGCCGTGCGTCCAGTAGGACGCGTTGGCACAAGCCTGAGACACGCCAAACGCGCGCCTGAACAGCCGTGCGACACGCCAAACACGTGCAAAGGACGATTGTGGTCAGACCTGAGACACGCCAAACACGTGCGGAAGCAGGCGGGCGACACGCCAAACACGTGCAGGTGCAGCGCAGACGCGCCAAACGCGCGCGGGGAGGAAGGGGGAAGAGAGAGGTGATATCGATGACAAAGAACATGATTCACAAAGATTGCGTTCGTTCAAAAACGTCTTTGGCCCATTGCTGTCGTGGACGGCCTCTCCAGCGGCGGGCCCATCTTTTCGGTGCGCCATTGTTTTCGCAAAGTATTTGCTTGACCAAATATTCGTTACTGTGTGAAGCTATTTGATTGTATCATTCCCCCTGCCGTCCAAGCAAAACGCCAGAAAGTGGAATGCCACCGGCGTCGCTCAAGACGTCCACGTTCCTGACCCTTGAGATGTACGAGCGCCAGCGTGCAGCAGTGCAGTGCGCGCCAGACCCAGACATGCGACGTCCTGATTTTTTCAGGACGGCGTCCCTTGAAGTCCCGACCCTTTCCCTGGGACCGGTTTTTCATCCTGGGTCGTTTTTTGACGGTCCCGAGGCCCGGCGAGGGCCCCCCAGGGCCGAAAATAGCCAAAAACCTCCCGTCTTGATTTTTTTACGACGCGATCATGTCTGGGGAGTGTGCCCCACCGGCGCGCAGCAGCCGGTGCCAGGAAAACGTCTGACTCGATCTCCCTGCCAGCCCCGTGGGTCCCTCGAGTGGGCGGCCCAGGTGGGGCCCCGAGAGCCCGGCAACCGGGAGGAGCCGGAGAGGCCCCCCTTCCACCCCATGACCCCCGACGCCATAGGTTTTTCACAGCGGCGACCCATTTCTCCTCCTCCTCCTCCTCCTCCTCCTCCTCCTCCTCCTCCTCCTCCCCCTCCTCCTCCTCCTCCCCCTCCTCCTCCTCGCTCGCCGCCCATCCGACGTGATGGCGGCGCCCGAGGCCCCCGCCCCCGCCGCCCATTCCCTGGGACCAGTTTCTCATCCTGAGTCGTTTTGTTGACGGGCGGTCCCAGAACCCGGGAAGGGCACCCAGAGGGGTGGAAAATAGCGAAAACCCGTCCGTCGTGATTTTTTCATGATTCGAGGGGGTCTGGGACACGTCCCCCCCCTTCGTCATCGCGTAGAGGGCATCCACGAGCCACCGCCGTGCCAGGCCAGGGCAGCCCTCGGCCCTGGCATGGCGCGGACTCCACCCTGGCCGAGGCCAGGAGGGTCTGTGCACCATCCTCCAGGACTCCGCCGTCGTGACTTTGTTCGCAGCGTTCGGCGATCACAATCCGCGACGAGCTCGGGGGAGAAGTGGGAAGGAGGAGGCCTTCTCTGAAGGCTCGGAAGTCCTCTTGGCCTTCTGAGAAGTTTTCTAAGCCCTCCCCGAAGGCGCAGAAAACCTCTCAGAAGGCCGGAGGGCCTCTGAGAAGCCCAGCCGCCTTCTGAGGAGGCCTTCTCCTCCTTACTTCCCCCCCTTCGCTCGCCACCGATACAAACGGTGTGGTTATGCCGGCACGCCGGGGTGTGGTGTGCGATCGGCGCCGTTGGGGCCTGGGAGGCACGACGCTGTCCTCGGCAGGCCTCCCCAGGGAGCGGCGGAGAACTCCATCGAGGTCCCCGCCCGCCCCCCGCGCGCCCCAGGGTGCCCCCCCGGGGTGCCGGCAGCAAACCACACCCGTTGCAGACCACACCCTTCGGAGTCGGCCGAAGCGTGGACCCCCCGAGGTTGGGGCCCCTGTCCCGGGGCCGGCGACTCTCCCCCGGGTGCCTTCTGGAAGGACCTGCGGGACCTGGTCGGGGCCCCTGGGGGGCCGGAGGCGGCTGAAGAAGCGTCCCGTCGCGGCTCTTCCGTGACGCGAGGAAGTGGGGTTTGGGGCCCTTGGTGACCCCTAGCCAGGCACGGTGGTGGTGCATGGAGGCTTCTGGCGGATCCGTGCCCCCACGGAGGAGGAGGAGGAGGAGGAGGAGGAGGAGGTGGAGGAGGAGGAGGAGGAGGAGGAGGAGGAGGAGGAGGAGGAGGAGGAGGAGGAGGAGGAGAGGAGGAGGAGGAGCAGCAGGAGGAGGGAGGAGCAGGAGCAGGAGGAGGAGGAGGAGCAGGAGAAGGAGGAGGAGCAGGAGGAGGAGGAGGAAGAGGAGGAGGACCCCCCCCCCTGCTCCTGCAGGCAGTGGGCTGTGGACCTGGAGGTCGCGAGGGACGCGGAGCCGCAGGTGCAGGTCTGACCCCGCGCCGCAGCTCCCCGGTGCCGAGCACAATTCTGGGCCTCCCAGTTAGGGTCGGAGTCTTAGCTGCCTCGATACTGTGGAGACCCATGCCGAGAAACACCCTGCTTGTCTCCAGGGTGCCCTTGGTTTCTTGGGTTTCGATGGTTTTGCGATGGGAAGCGGGACGCTCCCACACCAAAAATCAGTGAACTTCTTGGGGTCTCCGGGTTGGGGTTCTCATGGAAGGTTTCTTGTGGACTGGCCTCCACTGTACGCCAGTTTTGATACGCAACACGTGCCGTGTTCAAAGCGTCCGAGTTGACACGTTGCGTGTTGGCTCAACGTGTTGGCCCACGTCTTGGCGAGCGCATCGCGCCAAACCTACGCTTTCGGCCTACGTGTTGAGCTTCGCATCAACACGCTACGAGCTGGGTGCTGCGCGTCAGGACAGCTAAGGGTCGGAGCAGATGGGGTCGGAGGGTCGGGCCGCACCGCCGATGCGTCGGCGATGCGGCTCTATGCAGAGCCCGACTTTCTTCACAGCGACGTCGCCGATGCACAGCCGACGTTGACGAGGCACAGAGGTGATGCGGCGCGATCCTCCGACCCCATCCTGCTCGGGCCCCACCTGGGAGGCCTCCAACAATACAACTGTTGTCGATCTCAAGCCTTTGACTTGGGATCCGAGCACGCGCCGTTTGGCCGCACGCGAGGCCGCTCGGGACGACGTCGTCGACAGCGACGCCGTCTCGAGGGCTTAGCCGGGCGCCGCTTCTGGCGCCCACGGCGCTGGCGTCCGGCCGCGCTCACCGTTGGCGTACGACGTCGTCGTGGTCGGCGCTGCGGCTGGATCCGCTGCGATGAACGGGCGAGGATGGGCTGGGCGAAGAGAAGACTGGCGGTACCAAGTGGACTGAGTGAGTAAGCGAGACTAGTAGCGAAGCGAGTCGAGGTGAGCGGAGCTACGAGCGCTCTCCAGCGAGTTTCTCGGCCTTAATGACAGCCTTCTGCCAATGATAGGGAGGAGGGAGGAGAAAGGAGGAGGAGGAGGAGGAGGAGGAGGAGGAGGAGGACGAGGATCAGAGAAAGCCCAGGATGCATCCGCGATGCTGCAGAATACCCTCCCGTCCCAAATCGCCTCCTCGCAAGTCCCCGCAGGAGATCCTGCCCAAATACGGGAGACACCCGCGGAGCGTCACGCTGTACCGACCGTAGGCACCTGAACCCCTCACTCGGCCACAACGTCTGCATTCCTTCCATCAGTCGCCCTCCTCTTCTTCCTCCTCCTCCTCCTCCTCCACCTCCTCCTCCTCCACCTCCTCCCCCTCCTCCTCCCTCCCTCCTCCTCCTCCTCCTCCTCTTCCTCCTCCTCCTGCAGCCGCTACCAACAGAGGCAGGCCGACCTCTGCCGAGACGCCCACGTGGAAGAGTACCCCGAGACACGTCATGGAGAGACCTCGGTGAGGCCTCCGTGTGCGCACTCCGACTGTTGCTCTCGGCACCGTGCTTCTTCTCCAGCGTCGGGGAACCGCACGAAGCCATGATGGCTCTGCAGACCCTGCAGCAGTCGCAGAAGACAAACCGCCACAAACATAAACGTTTGGCGCTCCGCGCGGATTTCTGGGATCGGCGCCTGGGCCCCCCTGGCGGCCCCTCCGGCGTCGCGCCAAAAGTTTATGTTTATGGCGTTTCTATTTCTTCTTCGAAACAAGAGGGCAGCACGATCGCGGACCGTCGGCCGCTCTCGTCGCGCTTGGCTCCACATCCCGAGCTCGCTCTGCCCACGGAAGCTTCTGTGCGCAGTCGTGGAGTGCAGGATCCCACACAACGTGTCGCTTCGCCGGTTCTGGCCCACCCCGCTTCGGCGCGACACGCCATCCACACCCCAGTCCCCAAGCATCACGGTCCGAGCCTGTCCCAGGCCCCCCGTCCCGCGGAGCGGAGCGGAGCGACCCGCCATCCAGTTCCAGGGCGGAGCGTGTCGCTTGCAGGGCACAGCGTGTCGCTGGAGCCGCCGCCGCGACACGCGAAGCAGAAGTTCCTGACCGCAGTTGCGCTCGGATCTCCCTCGGACCGCAGTGCCCAGAGCACAAAACTATCAAACGGGTCCGCCCAGGAGTTGATCTGGGAATCGAGCACGGGGCTGCCTCTTTCGACCGCCGTCTCCACAGTTGGGTGCGAGGGCGCACACAGAAATTCAAGGCGATGGGTTTGCTGGAAAGTTACCCTCCAGATCCCCGCCTGAGTGCCCCACGCGAACCAGGGGTCCCAAATCAGGCCCTCGACAGCGAAGCTAAGTGAGACCACTGAAAATCTCCAGAGTCTGCACGAACGCCTGAATCGCACGAAGCCTCACTTCCCGTTCCAAGCGGCCAGCCGACATGATGATGATGGTGATGATGATGATGATGATGATGATGATGATGATGATGATGGTGGTTGTGATGATGCTGATGATGATGGTGATGGTGATGGTGGTGACTGTGATGATGGTGGTGATGATGATGCGGATGATGATGCTGCTGATGCTGCTGTTGCTGATGATGGTACTGATGATGCTGCTGATGATAATCATGCTGATGATTATGGTGGTGGTGGTGATGATGATGATGACGGTATGATGATTGGATGGTGATGCTGATGCTGACGATTCTGATGATTGTTGGTAATGATGATGATGAGGAGGAGGAGCAGGATGATGCTGATTCTGATGCTGATGCTGATGCTGATGGAGATGCTGAAGATGATGAGAATGATGATGATGATGATGCTGCTGATGATGGTGATGATGATGACGATGAGGATGAGGATGACGATGCTGATGTCGGTGCTGATGCTGATGCTGATGCTGATGCTTTTGCTGCTTATGCTGCTGCTTATGCTGCTGCTGATGATGATGCTGATGCTAATGGTGGCGATGATGATGGTGATGATGACGATGACGATGCCGACGACGACGACGATGCCAATGATGATGCTATTGACGACGATGATGCTGTTGATGATGGTGATGATGATAATCATGATGGTAATGATGGTAATGATGAGGATGGTGATGATAATCACGATGATGATGATGATGATGCTGCTGATGATGATGATGATGATGATGAGGCTGGTGATGAGAATATTGGCGACGCTGATGATGGTGATGTTGATGATGATAGCGGTGGTGATGATGATGAGGATGGTGGTGATTGTGATGGCGATGGCAATGCCGATGCCGATGATGATGGCGGTGATGATGATGTGATGGTGATGTATGTTGATGTTGATGTCGATGTCGATGCTGTTGATGATGCCGATTGTGATGATGCTGATGATGATGATGCTGGTGATAATGATGCTGATACTGATCGTGCTGATGTTGACGATGATGATGCATGCGATGTTGAGGTTGATTCTGGTGAGGCTGGTGATGATGAGGAGGATGATCATGATGATGCTGATGATGTTGCTGTTGCCATTGATGGTAACACTGATGATGCTGATCATGGTGATGATGACGACGACGATGATGACGATGTTGATGATGCTGGTGATGATGATGATGATGGTGATGCTGATGATGCTGATGATGCTGATGATGATGGCGACGATGATGCTGCTGCTGCTGATGATGGTGATGATGATGATGATGATGATGGTGGTGGTGATGATGATGATGGTGATGATGATGATGATGATGATGATGATGATGATGATGATGATGATGATGATGATGATGATGATGATGATGATGATGATGATGATGAGGATGATGGGATGGGATGGGGGGGAGGTGGAGGAGGGAGGAGGAGGAGGAGGGAGGAGGAGGAAGGAGGAGGAGGGGGAAAAGGAGCAGCAGCAGCAGCAGCAGCAGTGAGCAGGGAGGAAATTGCAGGGAGCAGGGAGCAGGGAGCAGGAGGAGAGAGCAGGGTGCAAAAGGCAGCGAGCGGCGAGTAGGTGAGACGAGGAGGAGGGGAAGGAGAAGGAGGGAAGGAGAAGGGGGGAAGGAGGAGGAGGGAAGGAGGAGGAGGAGGAGGAGGAGGAGGGGAAGGGAAGGAGGGAAGGGAAGGAGGGAAGCAGAAGGGGGGAAGGAGGAGGAGGGAAGGAGGAGGAGAAGAGGAGGCGAAGGGAGGAGAAGAGACCAGCTATTGCCCAGAGCACCCTTGAAGTATGCCACGCGCAGCCGCACGTTGTCCTGTCGGGACGTCCAGCTCACGCCCTGGGCTGGGCTGCCCATGTCCTCGTCGGGCACTCAAAGACCCATCCTCCCCCATCTCCCCCTCGTCCTGCCTCCTCCTTCCTCCTTCCCCTTCCTCCTCCTTCTCCTCCTCCTCCTTGCTCCCTCTTTCCTCTCCACAGCTCCTTCCACCCACCTCCCTCCCACTTCGCCCTCATCTTGTTCACCCTATACAGGCGACGACCCCCTCCTCATCCTCCACCTCCTCTTCATCGTCCTCCTCCTCCTCCTCCTCTTCTATCTTTGGCCACGTTTCCCCTCCTGCTGCTGCTCCTGCTCCTCCTCCTGGTCGGTGGACCGACTTGGTGGACAACACTTGATACTCCTCCACCGGGATCTTCGGGGGTCTGCTGAGCCGTCAAGATGTCCAAGGAGGCTCTCGGAGGTTCCAGGCGGGAAAACAGTGGATGCTTCTGGTGGTCTGGAGGCCGTCTAAAACCTCGCTTCCTCGATTCCCCTGCTCCCCATCCCTCCCCATCCTCCCCGTCCTCCGCCTCTCCCTCCCCCTTCTCATCCCCATCTTCCTCCCCCTCCATCCCTTGTCCTTACAAAGAATTCCTGCCTGTCACACCTCCAGACGTGTCGCTGGGGCGGGCCGGGCGTTTCGCCTGACACTTTCTCACCACTCACAGCGTTGAAGCTTGAAATTTGTACCAGCTTCGCGGATGGAGGACGGGTCGTTTTCAAAATGTGGCTCTCGCTTTCGGGCTTCGCACATTCGCTCTCAAAAAATCCAACAAGTTCAAGCATGCAGCATGCTTGACCGCCCCCTTTTCGAAATGTGGCTCTCACTCTCTAGCGCAGCGCACATTCGTTTCAAACAGTTGCGGCAGGTTCACGGGTTCGTATGGTTGAATTCACAGGAATGGCATGTTGGCACGATTTAGGATTCCCAAGACGCAATAGTTGCGTTGATTCGCGGTGTTGAGTATCAGGGATGGTCTTCTGGCACGACTCAGGACTGTCAGGGCGCAACGGTCACGTTGGTTCGCTGCGTCGATGTCCCGGGAACGGCACGACTGAGCATTACTAGCCGGCCGCTCTGCGGTTGATCGGGAGTTTCTATATATAGATAAAAGGCTCCTCGATGACGATAGTCAAAATGATCGGGTGGCGTTGGTGCGGCGGGTGAGGATCGGGAGAGCGAGGATGAGGAGAATGAAGATCAGGGAGGGTGAGGATCGGGCGGAGGGGAATCACCTGGGGGTCCCTGGGGGTGCGCTGGGGGCCCGTGGGGCGATTTTGCGAGGATGTCTCGAGCGAGGGCGCCGGGTTGGGACACGCCCGGCGCGCCCTGTGCGCCCGGTGCAGCGCCGGAAATGGTCCCTGGGGGTGCGCTGGGGGCCTTTGTGGCGATTTTGCAAGGATGTCTCGAGCGAGGGCGCCGGGTTGGGACACGCCTGGCGCGCCCGGCGCAGCGCCAGAAATGGTCCCTGGAGGTGCGTTTGGAAGCGACTCTCCCGCGCACTGGGGGTAAGGATGACGTGAGTTTCACAGGAACTCCTTCAAATCAGATGGTTGTCTTCTAATTGGCCACTTTCCGCAATAAAGATATTTGAGTGTAGGAACCATGAAGACGGAACTTGGAAGGGATTATTGCCAATCGTTGATGCGTCTTGGGTTTGCACTGGTTCTCCTCCCTCCTTATCCCCCTCGTCTCCCTGCCTCTCTCCCCCCTCCTCCATCCCTTTTTCGTATTCGGTAGGGCGGGCAAGGTGGTTCTCCTGAGACCTCTTCACCACATATGAGCCTGAAGCTCGCCACGGCTGCAACGGCTGAGGGGTCGTCTTCCAAATTGGACTCTCACCTTAGCACCGCACGCATCCGTTCTAAAGGCTTGTAGCAGTGTCAGGGTTGGAAGGCGGCTAATGTTTCAGAAGCCAGCTGGGAGGAGGAGGAGGAGAAGGAGGAGGAGGAGGAGGAGGAGGAGGAGGACGAGAAGGTTGAACACATATTATTCACGGTTGGACGGACGGAGGGCGGTTTCTTTTTCAGCTGGGGCCCTTGCTTGAGACATGCTCGAAGCTCATGACCAGACGTGCAAGCTTTGCAAGACTTGCTCAGACGGGGCCGCCTTTTGAAGCACGGGGACCTCGCTGCAAAACTATATGGCCACGCCTTCGCGCAGAATCCCGCGCTGTTCGCTGAAAGGATGTAGGGCAGCTCCATTCCCAAACGGGGCCCCCGCCTGAATTGCAGGCCCATGGGACGTTGTCTTTTCAATGGGGGCGCCTCGTGTAGCCCAAAGGCGGGCACTGCAGGGATTGACGGGGAGTGGGCTCGGGGCGGGAGGGCGCGTTGCAGCGGCATCGATGCGTCTTAGGCTTACTCTGATCATGGTGCGCCCCCTGTGGCTGACCTCCCATGTTTCTGGTCCTCCTTCGGGTCTAGCAGTTGGGGATTTCGGCGCCCCGAGCGAATGGGGGCCGTGCGGCAAAATGACCCGGGAACGTACCCAACGTTTCCCACGACACAAGACGACTATAAACAGGACAGCTGAACTGAAAAGTAGAAATGGGCATGTCTGTTGCCCCCCCATCCTTGAACGTTTCGTCAAAACATGTTTGACCAATCTCAATGTCCCCCGTTCAGTAACACGTCCACTGCGCTTGTCCTCCCGTGAGCTCACGAAAGGGGACGCAATAGATCGCGGCGCCCCAGGGACGGCGAGGTCTCGATCTGGTCCACGTGAGACCTCAGTGCGCTGGGCCTCCCAGGAGCTCACGAACGTGGCGACGGCTTCGCAGATCACAGCACCCCCTAGGGACGGCGAGGTCTCGATCTGATGTGCGTAAGACGTACCTCCGCTGGGCCGCCCGTAAGCTCGCGAAAGGGGCGGCAGTTTTGCAGATCGCAGACCCCCAGGGACGGCGAGGTCTCGATCTGGTCCCCTAAAGACGTGACAGCGCTGGCCCCCCCATGAGCCCACGAAAGAGGCGACAGCTTCGCAGATCGCAGCCCCCAGACGGCGCAAACGTGGAGGAGAGGAAGAGTGGGAAGGAGGCGTAACCAGTGCTCTATTCAAAGCGAGCAGCCAACCCAGGGAGTGTTGCGAAAAACTCCTCCCCCGATTCTTTCGAGGCCGCCCCCTACTGCTCCTCCTACTCCTGCTCGCTCCACGCTCCTCCTCATCCTCACTCCTCCTCCTTTTCTTCCTCCTCCTTTTCCTCCTCCTCCTCCTCCTCCTGCCCACACGCGGGCATGCGGGGGGAGAAGACCCCCACGAATCCGCGCCCGCGCCAGCCCGTCATGCATGCTGTGCAGCCGCGCGGGGGCGAGCATCTCACGGACGGCTCTGCGCCTCGTTCTCCCGGGGACCCGGCGCGAACCCCTCTTCTCCGGCGGTGCGTTCTCGTGGAGCCCATCGTTGCTCCTCGGGTGCGGCCGCCGGCCATCGGGCCCTGGGGCCCTCAAGAGTGGAACATCGGCCGAAGCACTGCACCCGGGGGGAAGCGGACGTCTGGGAATGGAGGCGAGGGCGGCGGCGTCGTCGGCGTCTTCGCTCCGCATGCGTGTGTTCAGCCGCGTTTCTGGTGGGTCTCGTTGCAGCAGGTGGGCGCGGCTCGGGAAGCTGCCCAGGACGGACCCCGCGAGGGGCCTTGAGGCAGATTTCGTGTGGATGCTGTTTTGATCACGCCGACGCCGACGACTGCGAATGGCGGCGATGACTGTCAGCATTCCCTTCTCGTGTTGGGCAGGGTTCGCTGCCAGCTACGAGGCGGACGTGGTCCATTCAGCGGAGACCATCATTTGATCACCAGCCGTCGCCATTTATTTGGGACGACCGTTGCTTTAGGGCAGTTTTCGACTCAATTCTCAGGTGTGGCGATTTGCATTATGTTTTCTCCAGCGCCTCGCTCTGTCGGGCGTGGCGCTGATGACTGCAGGCGTGACACGCGTTTTTTTGTTCCGTGGCCTGCTGGATGGTTCCGCTCGGCGAGCTTTAACACGCAAGCTCCGAGTGTGGGTACCCCACCGGGGCAGCAGATAACAACCGCGTGAGGCAGCGCTCTCTTCCGCCCCGACCGCTCGCAAAGCGGCCTTTTCCTTCCAAATCGTGAATCAGAGAGAGAGAGAGAGAGAGAGAGAAAACAAAAAAAAGCTGGAAATTCCTCGAGTAGTCCTTGCATTCAGATTTCCTTCTACTGGTGTGCCAGGGTAATCGGCTGACATTTCGGGCTGTTCCCCCCCAGTGGCCGCCGCGGCATTACCCGACTTTTCCCCGCTGGCCGCCCCTGGCCGCCTCGAGGCGGCCACCAGAGGAGGAGGAGGAGGAGGAGGAGGAGGAGGAGGAGGAGGAGAGGAGGAGGAGGAGGAGGGAGAGGAGGAGGAGGCGGGCGGGCGGGCGGCGGCGGGCGGGCGGGCGGGCGGGCGGGCGGGCGGGAGGGAGGGAGGGAGGGAGGGAGGGAGGGAGGGAGGGCCGCCTCGAGGCTGCCCGCGTGCGCTGGCTGGCAGTTCTCGACCTCCGCTGCAGGGGCCTCCCGTGGCCGCCTCCCGCGGCCGCCTCGCGCGCGGGCGGGCGTGCTCTGGGCTCTCGCCCCCCTGGCCGCTCGTGGCCGCCTCGTCGCCGCCTTGGGTGCTGGCTCCTCCTCCTCCTCCTCCTCCTCCTCCTCCTCCTCCTCCTCCTGCTCCTCCTCCTCCCGCCTCCCAGGAGGCACCGCCCGGCTTCCCGTCGGGCGTGTCCCTCTGCAGGGGGGGGAATTTGTCCACATCCACCGCCCGGAGGGTCAGTTTTCGGAGCCTCGGCAGGCGGTGGATGTGGACATGTTCAGGCCCCCGGGAGCCGCAATGGATCCGTATCCACCGCCCGCTGGGGCACCAGGGCGTCGGTTCCTAGGCGGTGGGTATGGGTAAATCCCCGCCTCGTACCCTCTGCAGGGGGAAGATTCAGAAACAGTTTAAGAAATAGTCGGGGGAGGATTTTCTGTGTATCTTTTGGCATTTGGGGGCATTGTTTGGCTTTTGGCTGTTTTGTATTTGTCGTCCAGAATCCCCCTGTAGGAGGACATGCCCGACTTAGACCTAGCTTGCACCACATGTCACACTGCGGTGGGGACTCCTCGACGCCGAGCGAGTGGGGGAAGTGAGAAGGAGCAGGCCTTCTCAGAAGGCGGCGGGGCGTCTGAGGAGCCCTCGCGCCTTCCGAGCAGTGGTTTTTGCGTCTTCGGGGAAGGCCCACGAAACTGTTCAGCAGGCCGGAGGATTTCCTAGCCTGCTGAAAAGGCCTTCTCCTTCTCACTTCCCCCCCCTCGCTTGCCGCCAAGAAACGCCAACGTTTGCACGAGACGACAGGTCGCGATGATGGGCCTGTCTTCCACCACCACCGTAAATTGGAGGGGGAAGGAGGTGGAGGCTGAGGAGGATGATGATGAGGAGGAGGAGGAGGACGAGGAGGAGAGGAGGAGGAGGAGGAGGAGGAGGAGGAGGAGGAGGAGGAGGAGGAGGAGGAGGACTCCCTCCCCCTCCTGCTGATGCGGCGATGGAACACGAGCACACCACGTGAGCCGACACCGACGCGCGCGTGCACGCCGGCACGGCACGCGGGCCCCGGCGTGGCTCGTGGGCGCGGCATGGCACGCGGGCACGGCACGCGGGCACGGCATGCGGGCACGGCGCGCAGGGCACGTCTCGCCGCAGGTTGCCGGAAACAAGAGCAGGCGCGGCGCGCGGCACGCGGGCACGGCGCGGCACGCGGGCGGCACTCCTCCTCGCTCCTGCTCTTGCTCCTCCTCCTGCTCATGCTCCTCCTGCTCCTCCTGCTCCTCCTCCTGCTCCTCCTCCTGCTCCTGCTCCTGCTTCTCCTCCTCCTCCTGCTCCTCCTACTCCTCCTGCTCCTCCTCCTCCTCCTCCTCCTCCTCCTGCTCCTCCTCCTCCTCCTTCTCCTGCTCCTCCTCCTCCTCCTCCTCCCTCCTCCTCCTCCTCCTCCTCCTCTCCTCCTCCTCCTCCTCCTCCTCCTCCTGCCCTGCTCCTCTCTCCTCCTGCTCCTGCTCCTTCTGCTACTCCCTCCTACTCTCTCATCTCCTCGTCCTCCTCCTCCTCCTTCTCCTCCTCCTCCTCCTCCTCCTGCTCCTCCTCCTCCTCCTCCACCTCCATGTTGTTTCGCACGCTTGGAGCGCGTGCACGGCACTGCACGCGGGAGGCGCACATATCTGGCATCCTGGATCGCGGGGGCGGCACTGCGCGCGGGCACGGCATGGCACGACGCGTTGGCGGCGCCTCTCTCGCACTCTGGAGCGCAGACGCTGGTCCTTATTGTACTCTTGGCATTCGGAAGGCCAGGCACACGGCATGGCGCTGCGCGCGGGCGGCAGCTCCTCGTGGCACGGCACGTTGGCGCGCCAATCGCGTGACATTCTGCAGGCTGGCCACGGCGCGCGCACGCCACCGCGCAGGCGGGCACGGCACTGCGCACGCGGGCACGGCACCGCGCACCGCGGGCAGCAGCTCTCGTTCCCGAGACTGGGCACGGCGCTCGGGCACGACGCGGCGCGCGGGCACGGCACGACACGCGCAGAAACTTGGAGTCACCACGCACGACAACTTGATTCCTCTCGCTTCGCGGGGTGCACGTCCGGAGCACGTACAGTCACGTCGTCGCGGAGCCTCTTGGGAGCCTCTTGGGGGCCTCCTGGAGGCCTCCTGGGGGCTTCCTTGGGCCTCTTGGGGACTTTTTGGGGGCCTCTCCCCCCTCACTCCTTTTCATACTCCCTCCCCATATTTCTTTCCAGCGCCGGCTCTAATCATGGGCGCCGCTGTGACCAACTTCCACCTGGCTGGCGCTGCGCCGCAGTTCGCCCAGGGTGGAAAAATGACATTGCACTCCAGTCGCTGTGTGGCCTTTGGGGGGTTTCTTTGGAGCCTTTGGGAGGCTTCTTGAGGACATCTTGGAGGCCTCTTCGGGTTTTTTTGGGGCCCCTTGGGGGCCTCTTGGGTGCCTCTTGGGGCCTTTGGGGGGCGCCTTTGGCCGTATTGGGGCGCTTTTGCGCCGTTTCGCCCCCTCGGAGGCCGTCTTGGGGGCCTCTCGCGGCCGCCTTGGGGCCGTTTTGGGGTCTTCTTGGGCCGTCATAGGGGCCTCTTTGGGCCGTCTTGGGGGCCTCTTTGGGCCGTTTTGGGGTTCTGTTGGGCAGTATTGGGGCCCTCTTGGGGGCTTCTTGGGTTGTTCAGGAGCGAGTTGGGAAGCTGCCTGGGCCGCAAAGGCGAGAACGCTAAAATCTTACCAAACCAAAAGGAAATCAATGATCTTGGCTTCTGGAGGCGCAGTTGTGGGCGCTCTTGGGGCCCTCTTCGGCCGTCAGTGGGGCTTTTGGGGCCGTCTTGGACCGTCTCGGGGCTGTCTTGGTCCGCGCAGAGCCCATCTGGAGCTGTCTTGGCACCCTCTTGGTCCTTCAAGAAGCCCTCTTGGTCGCTCAAGAAGCCCAAGAAGTCGAAGTCATGGATTTTCTATAGGTTTTGGTAAGTTCTTGAGCCCCGGGAGGGGGGGGGCACTTTGGTCCGCTCCTGTGGCGCAGCTCCCAGAAGGGGGGGTTAGGGGGGGAGACATAATTAATAACGTAACACAATGCAATATGTGGCAATTATGCAATCATTGGATACATTGGGTACGTTGCATTATCGCCTCCGCAGAAAACTCTGCAGTCCAGTCGTTGTGGGGCCTCCTGGGAGTCTCTTGGGAGCTTCTTGGAAGCTTCTTAGGGTTTTTGTATGAGCCTCTGGGGGGCCTCTTTGGAGCCTCTTGGGGCTTCTTGGGGACGTCTTGGGCCGTCTTTGGGCGCTCTTACGCCGTCTGGCCACTTCGGAGGCCACTTTGGAAGCCTCTCGCGGCCGCCTTGGGGCTCTCTTGGGGTCCTCTGGGGCCGTATTGGGTCTTTTTGGGCCGTCTTGAGGGTTTTTTTGGCCGTCTCGGGGCCCTCTTGGGCCGTGTTGGGGCCCCCTTGGAGGCCTCTTGGGCCGTTTGGGAGCCTTTTTGGAAGCTGCTTGGGCCGTCATGGCCTTCTGAGGGCCTTCTGAGAGCTTTCTGAGAGCCGAAAAAAGCGAAAACGTTAAAATTGTCCCAAAACTAAAGGGGAATCAAAGATTTTAGCCTCCGGAGGCGCTCTCGGGAGTCTTCTTGGGGGCCTCTTAGACTTTCTTGGGGGCCTCATGGGCCCTCTTGGGGCCATCTTGGGCAGTCTTGAGGCCGTCTTGGGCTGTCTTGGGGCCATATTGGGCCGTCTTGAAACTTTCTTGGGGCCCCAAGAGGCCCAAGAGGCCGAATTCGTTGATTTGTCATAGGTTTTTGATGTTTTTGAAGCCCAGAAGGGGTCCGCCACCTGTGGGTCGACGGAAGTGGCGTGGCCCCTGGGGGGGGTTAGGGGGGGAGACATAATCATGTAACACAATACGATATGTTGAAATTATGCAATCATTGGACATGTTGGATACGTTGCATTATCGCCTCCGCAGAAAACGCTGCCGCTCAGCACGTCACCTCCGGACTTGGATTCCTCTCGCTTCGCGGGGTGCACGTCCAGAGCACGTACAGTCACGTCGTCGCGGAGCCTCTTGGGAGCCTCTTGGGGGCCTCCTGGAGGCCTCCTGGGGGCTTCCTTGGGCCTCTTGGGGACTTTTTGGGGGCCTCTACCCCCTCACTCCTTTTCATACTCCTTCCCCATATTTCTTTCCAGCGCCGACTCTAATCATGGGCGCCGCTGTGACCAACTTCCACCTGGCTGGCGCTGCGCCGCAGTTCGCCCAGGGTGGAAAAATGACATTACACTCCAGTCGCTGTGTGGCCTTTGGGGGGTTTCTTTGGAGCCTTTGGGGGGTTTCTTGAGGACATCTTGGAGGCCTCTTCGGGTTTTTTGGGGGGCCCTTGGGGGCCTCTTGGGTGCCTCTTGGGGCCTCTTGGGGGGCGCCTTTGGCCGTATTGGGGCGCTTTTGCGCCGTTTCGCCCCTTCGGAGGCCGTCTTGGGGGCCTCTCGCGGCCGCCTTGGGGCCGTTTTGGGGTCTTCTTGGGCCGTCATAGGGGCCTCTTTGGGCCGTTTTGGGGGCCTCTTTGGGCCGTTTTG